GGCAGGGAAATGGGGTGAGGAGGGCAGGAGAAGCCGGAGATGCCGAGGGCAGCAGGGACAGCCTGCAGGCGCGGGCGGGGCGGGTAAGGCAGCAGCAAAGGCCCAGCTTGTTTGTTCTGTCCTGGGGAGAGGCTGATTTTGGGGGACAGGAGATCCCTGGTACCCCTGAGAGGGGAAGGTGCTGGGGAACGTCCCAGCATGACCCTGTGCTGTCGGGATACAGGGACAGAGCTGCTGCAGCAGCCACCTTCCCACTCAGGCTCTGTTCCCAGAACTGGGGCGACGGGGCTGTGATGGTTTCTATAAAAAAAGGGAAAAAATATCCATCCTCCTCTGTGGGCAGAGAAATCCATGCGCTTGGGAGCGCTGCTGCATCCTCCCTGGGAGCAGGCAGTGATATTGCCACGTTTCTGACTCGTGAACTCTTTAATCCAGGCAAACCCCAGCCCCAGCCCGGGGAGAGCTGCAGGAAATCCCCGGTGCCCATGGAAGGGGGAAGCTGGGGAGGTGCCAGGCTTCAAAGGCCATGGCAGGGGAGGATTAAAACACTGGATTACAGGATTCCCCCTGGGCTAGCTCATTCCCTGAGCACCAGCCAACCTCCTTGCCCTGGGAGGGGAAGGATCGGATCCTTTGCTTTCTGAACTGCTGAGGGAGGCAGCAAATTTGGGAAGAAACCTCCACAACTACCTCAAAACCTGAGAGGAGACTTTTCTGAACCATCCAGCCCTGGAGGAACCTCGTTCCTTTGGCTGGACCTTCCTCCTGTTTGGGATTCATGACTTTGACAGGGGCAGATTGGGAGGGGTGTGGTTGAACGAAGAACAAACAAGCAGCTGTGTCACTGTCACATTCACACAGAGGCAGTGTCACTGTCACATTCACACAGAGGCAGTGTCACTGTCACATTCACACAGAGGCTGTCACACAGCAGCAGCACAGCGAGGTGAGGCAGAGGATGTGCACCATGCAGCGTTAGAAGGGAAATCAAGGAGAAAAACTTGTTGCAGAAACAAACAATTAAGCACTAAACATGCTTTAGGCAGGGTGCTGTGGGTTTCCTTCCTCGAGGGTACACGGGGACAGCTTGGCATCTCTCCACACCCCCACCTACACCTCTGCTTGCTCCTGCTTGGCAATCCTTCCTCCCCAGGGGCCTGAACCCTGGCTGGGGTCCCCTGGCACCCTCCAGGCCGCCCGTGGGAGCTGCCCCAGGGGGTTTGGGGCAGGGGGACGCAGGGGCAGGGATACTCACCGGTCTGCAGGGTCTGCCTCCCCCCCGAGAGCACTCCCAGGGGCAGGGTACCTGTGGGGGTCAGGCCTTTGAGGGTCAGCACACTCTCACTCTCCTCCCTGCAGGGAACAGCAGCAGTTACACACTGAGTTATGCGTTATGGGATCATGGATCGTGAAAATCATGGGATCTTTAAGGCTGGAAAAGACTTGTAAGGTCACCCAGCAGCACCACTACCCCCGTCCCCAAGTGCCACATCCACACCTCTGTTCAACCTCTCAGCCCTGGACAGTCCATTCCAGTACCTGGCAACCCTTTCCATGCAGAAATTTCCCCTAATATCGAACCTGAATCTCCCCTGCTGTAGTTTGAGGTCGTTTCCTCCCCTCTGTCATTTGTTATTTGGGAGAAAAGTCCAACCCCCACCTGGCTGCAACTTTCTTTCAGGAAAATGTGTCCTGAAAGAGTCAGGACAAATCACCTGTTCTAGGAAGTTTTCCCCTTCTTTTTTTCCTAACCAGTGTTCCCCACCACCCAGTCCCCAAATTAAACTCAGCCCCAAAATTATGTGCAGTCCCTGAATTAAACCTAGTTAAAGAATTAAGCCCAGTCCCCAATTTAAGCCCAATCCCCAAATTAAGTTCGGTCCCTAAATTAAGCACAGTCCCCAAATTTAGCCCAGTCCCCAAATTATACTCAGTCCCCAATTAAGGCCCAGTCCCCAATTTAAGCCCAGTCCCAAAACTAAGCTCAGTCCCTGAATTAAACCCAGTTCCTGAATTAAGCCCAGTGCCCAAATTAAGTCTGGTCCCAGAATTTAGCCCAGTCCCCAGATTAAGCCCAGACCCCAAACCATGCCCAGTACCCAAACTATGCCCAGTACCCAAAACTAAGTCAAGTCCCCAGTTTAAGCTGAGTCTCCAGTTTAAGCCCAAACCCCAATTAAACTCAGTCCCCAATTTTAAGCCCAGTCCTCAATTTAAGCCCAGTCCCCAAACTATGCCCAGACCCCAAATTAAGCTGAGTTCCCAAATTAAACTCAGTCCCCAATTTAAGCCCAGTCCCCAGTTAAAGCCCAGTTCCCAAATTAAGCCCAGTCCCCAAATTAAACTCAGTCCCCAATTTAAGCCCAGTCCCCAGTTAAAGCCCAGTGCCCAAATTAAGCCCAGTCCCTGAATTAAGCCCAGACACCAAATTAAACTCAGTCCCCAATTTAAGCCCAGTCCCCAGTTAAAGCCCAGTTCCCAAATTAAGCCCAGTCCCTGAATTAAGCCCAGACCCCAAATTAAACTCAGTCCTCAACTGAAGCCCAGTCTCCAATTTAAACCCAGACCCCAAATTAATCCCAGTCCCCAAACTAATCCTAGTTACCAAATTAAGCCCAGCCCCTGAATTAAGCCCAGACCCCAAATTAAACTCAGTCCTCAACTGAAGCCCAGTCTCCAATTTAAACCCAGACCCCAAATTAATCCCAGTCCCCAAACTAATCCTAGCTATCAAATTAAGCCCAGTCCCCAAACTAAGCCCAGTCCCCAGTTTAAGCCCATTCCCCAGTTTAAGCCCAGTGCCCAGCCCATCCTCACCGAAGGACTGAGAAGACCCGTGCCATCTTCCCAATGGCTCTGATCTTATTCCTGATGATCTCCTTGCGCACCGTTGTCCCACCTGAGGGACAGAAAAGAGCAGAGAGCAGCACGTTGGAGGCTTCCTGCTCTGCAGGGAGGGTCAGCATGAAGCCCCTGCCTGACTCCAGGAAAAGAAATCATGGTTTGTACAGAGTCACAGCTACACCGGAGAGAGAACGGTGCTGGAAAGGATGGCATCAGGATGGCACCAGGATGGCATCAGGATGGCACCAGGATGGCGGTGAGGAGGGCAACACCAACGAGATGGCACACACGGAACTCGAGAGGGCTGAAGAGAGTAGAACCACCACAGGACACGGGCTCGGGGAGGTGTGGCTGCCAGGGCACAGCTGGGCCCACACTGCACAGGATGGGACACAAATGACTCAGCCATGAGGACACGCTTGGCAAGGCAGAGCACGGAGGGGCTGATGGGCATCAGCTTTGGCATCCAAGGAGCACAGGGAAGGGCTGGCCCGAGCCTGGCAGCTCTGCTCTGACCCCACACGGACACAACAGAACAAGGGGGAGCTCCCCTTCCGCTCTACGGACCCGAACGGGAGAGAGAAACATAAAAAAGCACAGAGGGAGCTGAAATCAAAGGGAAAATTCAGGTGGAAAGAGGGAACAAATCCATCTCCTCTCAGCTGAGATTCCTCACATGGCCCAGTACACATCAGGACAGGGAAGCCAAACCCAGGGCTAACATGCACCATGGCTCAGCCATGCACTACGTGGCTGCATTCAGAATCGGGTAGAAACGTGACCCCCGTTTCTCAGAGTTCCTGCAGGAACGCAGAAGGGTTAAAAAACACATGGAGCTTATGTTAAAACTGAAAGGGGATGAAGAGACTGCCCCACTAGTCAGCTCTGGAAATCCACTTCAAGGATCTGGTGGCACAGGCAGTGATAATTAAGCTCGTAGCAAATTCTAGCTGGGTACCTTTCGGATAGCTTGAAATGTAGTGATCTTCAGGGAGAGGAGACACCAAGAAACAAGTAGATGAAGACAGAGATAGAAGAAACAAATTTAATTTTCATGGGAGGGAGGAAAGAAAAAAAACCAAAAAAGCAAAAAACAAAACGGAAATGCAATGGGATAAGCGGGTTAGAGTCTCCACCTGGGGCCGAGGCAGCTCAGGCCCCACTTCTGGCTGCCCCCCTCAGCTTCCTCAGGTCACCACCTCACTCCTGAGTCCCCCCAAAATCCAAACTGCTCATCAGCTCAACCACTGATTTGTCCCCTTCATGCACAGCTTAAAAGCAGGGCCAAACCCAGCGCTTTTGGGGAGAGGGTGACACGAGAAGCCACTTTACAGAGGAGTTCACTGCAACAGATGAGAGAAGATTGGGTGGATATTTTGGTGCAGAAAATTCTGAATTGGGGGAAAAAATAACCAGCAGCCTGTGTAAGGAGCAGGAAACCATTCCCAGAGTAGCTGGCAAGAAGTGTCTGTCGCAGTGAATGTCATTTCATTTCTCTGTGACTGAACAGCAAAGGAGGAAAAAAAACCCCAAACATTCCCTACCCAAAACTGCAAAAAGAACTGGAGACCCTGGCTGGGAATCCAGCTATAAATCAAGTGCTGCTCAGGCATGAAAGACCATGCCCAGCCTTTCCCCCCGCTGCTCTCTGCTGCCAGCAGGGATATTTTACCTTCCAAGGTCTCGTCGCCATCCGAGATCAGCTCGTCGTCGGAGCAGATGTTGAGGATGTTCACGAGCATCTCGGTGACTGCAAGAGGCACAGACAGAGAGGTCAGAGAGGCCTGGCCATGCAGAGGGATTTGGAGGGCCAGGGAAGGATTTCAAGGTCGTCTGTGCCTTGCAAGTGGGAGCCTAAAGACACTTTTAGGCACAGGCTGCTGGTGCCCGCAGCGGCGCCGGAGCAGACGACACACGCTGCAGCTTGTGCCAAGGAGGTGGATGCAGGCCAAGCACATCACAGAGGAACCAGACGTGGGGAAGGAGGTGCCAACATTCCTGCAGAACAGCCTGAGCTCCCTCAAGGTCCCCCCTCCCCATCCTCACCCACACCAAAGCCACCTGGCTCTGAGAAGGGCCAAATTTGGGAAGGGAGGGGGATTCGACCTTTGGTGCCTCAAAGTCAAAAAATCCTTTGGGAGTGGTGAGGGTGAAGCTGCACCCCAAATATACGAGATTGGGGTGGAATTTAATCCCATCAGGAGAGGTAAAAATCCTTTTGGTGAAAAGCTGAGGCAAAGTGTTGGTCATATTTTAAGCTGCCTCGCCTTGTTCAGAATGAAATAAGCCTTGGATTGAAGTGAATGCTTCCTTTTTGGTGGGCCAGGAGCCAACAGGAATTTAAAATTCCTCTGCTGCAAACCGAGAGAAACATCTCCAAATTCTGAGGTGGGGCTACAGCAGCCAAGAGCAGCCCCACCAGCAATGCAGGAAGAGCAAGAAAGGAGTGTTTTATTGGTAAAAGCTTTTTCAAACAGCTGGTTTTGCATGAATTTCACCCAGTAATGAAGATCTCCTTGAGCCTGAAGTGCTGTCCTGTTGCTACCTGGAGCTGCAACACTCTCCCAGCAGTGTGGGACAGGTTTGTGACACTCAGGCTATGAGGAGCAGTCACTGGGAGTTTGGAACAGAACCCCAAATCTCTCTTACCCTTTTCCCCTACGAAAGGCAAGGACCATGTGAACACATCCATGAAGTTTGGAAGCCAGTAGGGGTGAGGGGAACAGTTGAACTGCCTGATGTTCATGACGTTGTTTTCATATTTCAGTACAGCAGCTGGGGGAGAAAAGGCAGAGAGAATAAATGTCCATGGGCACTTCCCACCTACAGAATCCTGGATTTGAAGGATCTTAAGGGCAGCAACACCTTCCACTATCCCAGGGTGCTCCAAGCCCTCCCAGCCTGGCCTTGGGCACTTCCAGGGATCCAGGGGCAGCCACAGCTTCTCTGCGAATTCCATCAGCCCCTCACCACCCTCACAGAAGAAATTCCTTCTCAATCTCCTTCCCATCCAGCCCTGCCCTCTGGCAGTGGGAGCCATTCCCTGTCCTGTCCCTCCATCCCTTGTCCCCAGTCCCTCTCCAGCTCTCCTGGAGCCCCTTCAGGCTCTGAGCTCTCCCTGGAGCTTCTTCCCCTTTCCCCCCCAGCTCTCCCAGCCTGGCTCCCTCTGNTTAAACTCAGTCCCCAATTTTAAGCCCAGTCCTCAATTTAAGCCCAGTCCCCAAACTATGCCCAGACCCCAAATTAAGCTGAGTTCCCAAATTAAACTCAGTCCCCAATTTAAGCCCAGTCCCCAGTTAAAGCCCAGTTCCCAAATTAAGCCCAGTCCCCAAATTAAACTCAGTTCCCAATTTAAGCCCAGTCCCCAGTTAAAGCCCAGTGCCCAAATTAAGCCCAGTCCCTGAATTAAGCCCAGACCCCAAATTAAACTCAGTCCTCAATTGAAGCCCAGTCCCCAATTTAAACCCAGACCCCAAATTAATCCCAGTCCCCAAACTAATCCTAGTTGCCAAATTAAGCCCAGTCCCTAAATTAAGCCCAGACCCCAAATTAAACTCAGTCCTCAATTGAAGCCCAGTCCCCAATTCAAACCCAGACCCCAAATTAATCCCAGTCCCTAAACTAATCCTAGTTGCCAAATTAAGCCCAGTCCCTGAATTAAGCCCAGTCCTCAAACTAAGCCCAGTCCCCAAACTATGGCCAGTCCCTAAATTAAGCCCAGACCCCAAATTAAACTCAGTCCCCAAATTAAACTCAGTCCCCAAATTAAGCCCAGACACCAAATTAAACTCAGTCCCCAATTTAAGCACAGTCCCCAATTTAAGCCCAGACCCCAAATTAGGCTCAGTCCCCAATCTAAACCCAGTCCCCAGTTAAAGCCCAGTGCCCAAATTAAGCCCAGTCCCTGAATTAAGCCCAGACCCCAAATTAAACTCAGTCCCCAAATTAAGCCTAGTCCCCAATTTAAGCCCAGACACCAAATTAAGCTCAGACCCCAAACTAAGCCCAGTCCCCATTTTAAGCCCAGACACCAAATTAAGCTCAGACCCCAAACTAAGCCCAGCCCCCAGTTTAAGCCCAGCCCCCAGTTTAAGCCCAGTGCCCAGTTTAAACCCAGTGCCCAGTTAAGCCCAGTGCCCAGCCCATCCTCACCGAAGGACTGAGAAGACCCGTGCCATCTTCCCAATGGCTCTGATCTTATTCCTGATGATCTCCTTGC